TCAACATAGTTTTGGAAGTTCTGGCCAGGGCAATCAGGCAAGAGAAAGAAATAAAGGGTATTCAATTAGGAAAAGAGGAAGTCAAATTGTCCCTGTTTGCAGATGACATTATTGTATATTTAGAAAAAAAAAAAAACCATCGTCTCAGCTCAAAAGCTCCTTAAGTTGATAAGCAACTTCAGCAAAGTCTCAGGATACAAAATTAATGTGCAAAAATCACAAGCATTCTTATACACCAATAATAGAGCACCAAATCATGAGCAAACTCCCGTTCACAACTGCTACAAAGAGAATAAAGTAGCTAGGAATACAACTTACAAGGGATCTGAAGGACCTCTTCAAGGAGAACTACAAATGACTGCTCAAGGAAAGAGAGGACACAAATGGAAAAATATTCCATGCTCATGGATAGGAAGAATCAATATCGTGAAAATGGTCATACTGCCCAAAGTAATTTACAGATTCAATGCTATTCCCTTTAAGCTACCAATGACTTTCTCCACAGAATTAGAAAAAAACTATTTTAAATTTCATACGGAACCAAAAAAGAGCCTGTATAGCCAAGATAATCCTAAGAAAAAAGAACAAAGCTGGAGGCATCATGCTACCTGACTTCAAGCCATACTACAAGCCTACAGTGATGAAAACAGCATGCTACTGGTACCAAAACAGATATATAGACCAATGGGACAGAATACATGTCTCAGAAATAACATCACACATCTACAACCATCTGGTCTTTGACAAACCTGACAAAAACAAGCAATGGGGAAAGGATTCCCTATTTAATAAGTGGTGCTGGGAAAACCGGCTAGCCATATGTAGAAAACTAAAACTGGACCCCTTCCTTACACCTTATACAAAAATTAACTCAAGATGAAGTAAAGGTTTATATATAAGACCTAAACCCATAAAAATCCTAGAAGAAAACCTAGGCAATACCATTCAGGACATAGGTATGGGCAAAGACTTTATGACTAAAACACGAAAAGCAATTGCAACAAAAGCTAAAATTCACAAATGGGATTTAATTAAACTAAAGAGCTTCTGCACAGCAAAAGAAACTATCATCAAAGTGAATAGGCAACCTACAGAATGGGAGAAAATTTTTGCAATCTATCCATCTGACAAAGGGCTAATATCCAGAATCTACAAGGAATTAAAATTTACAAGAAAAAAAAAAAATCAAAAAGTGGGCGAAGGATATGAACAGATACTTTTCAAAAGAAGACATTTATGTGGCCAACAGACATATAAAAAAAGCTCATCATCACTGGTCATTAGAGAAATGCAACCATCTCACACCAGTTAGAATGGCAATCACTAAAAAGTCAGGAAACGACTAATGCTGGAGAGGATACGGAGAAATAGAAATGCTTTTACACTGTTGGTGGGAGTATAAATTAGTTCAACCATCTGGAAGACAGTGTGGTGATTCCTCAAGGATCTAGAACTAGAAATACCATTTGACCCAGCAATCCCACTATGGGGTATATACCCAAAGGATTATAAATCATTGCACTATAAAGATACATGCGCACGTATGTTTATTGCAGCACTATTCATAATAGTAAAGACTTGGAACCAACCCAAATGCCTATCAATGTTAGGTTGGATAAAGAAAATGTGGCACATATACACATGGAATACTATGCAGCCATAAAAAAGAATGAGCTCATGTCCTTTGCAGGGACATGGATGAAGCTGGAAACCATCATTCTCAGCAAACTAACACAGGAACAGAAAACCAAACACCACATGTTCTCACTCATAAGTGGGAGTCGAACAATGAGAACATATGGGCACAGTGAGGGGAACATCACACACAAGGGGGCCTTTTGGGGGGTGGGGGCAAGGGGAGGGATAACATTAGGAGAAATACCTAATGTAGATGATGGGTTAATGGGTGCATCAAACCATCATGGCACATGTATACCTATGTAACAAACCTGCTCATTCTGCACATGTATCTCAGAACTTGAGTATAATTTTAAAAAAAGAAAGAAAAAAAAAACCTGCACTTCACAGCATTAATTAAAATTACACTTAAATTTGTATAAATGTGATCAGTATCTGTCTTTTCCTACCTGCAGTCCCCATTAAACTATAAGCTCCATGAGGGCAAGAACTATGTCAGTCCTAATCATGACTGAATTCCCTACACCCTATGAATACCTGGCATATAGCTATAATTCAATTACTTCAGTTGTATCAGATTAAAAATAATGTATTCCTCAACAAAGCTCTGAGATAAAATGGTGCTCCTCACATCACATTTTTTTTTTTTTTTTTTTTTTTTGAGACAGAGTCTAGCTCCATCGCCCAGGCTGGAGTGCAGTGGTGCACATCACATCTTTTCTGGAAAAGCTAATAAGAACATTTCTTGAGTTCCTGCCATTCTAAGATTTTTAGGTACTATTCTAAAATTTTTACATGTATTCTCATCTAATTCTCATGACAAACCTATGAAGTAGGTACCATGATTATTCCCATTTTACAGATGAGACCTTTGAAGCAGAAAGGTTGTACAATTCGCTCAAAGTTATAGAGATGAATGGCAGAGATGAGATTCAAATCTAAGTAGCCTAGCCTAAAAGCCCATACTTTTAATCACTACTCTATAACACATCTTATTGAAGAACACCAAATTCTCGAGTACCAACGAATGTAGCCAAATAAAACAAATGATATGAAGACAAATTCAGACTTAGATATACAAGTCTCCAATCCTACATGACAATTCAAAGACAGTCACCACAAATCATTCCAATGCCTAATCTTTACTTTTATTTAAAACAGCCATCAACATTAAAACCATATCTTCCTTTCCAATTAACAGACATAGATGGAGACTGAAACCCAAAATATTCTCATATTAAAAACATTTTCTTCTGCCACTAAATCCCTGATTCATAAAAACACAGACAAACTATTTTTATCTGCCAATCACCCAATCACCAAACTGGGCCAACAGAACTCCATATGTATTGCCTGGGTTTTCCACTGGAGGCAGCAGAAATGCGTGGGGACTGCCACCGTCTCCATGGCTTTGTCTTTCTAGTTCTCCCTGCATAGGATGTAGGAAAATAATACATACCAAGTTTGAACGGGCCCTCAGTATTTATTCAAAAGAATACCAAAAACCAGTGCAAGGCATGTGACAGGGAGGAAGGATCACTAGAGAGGGAGCAGGGCGAACAACTCAGATGATTCACAATCTGCCCAGCAGATGCTTCTAAGTTCCAAGCATTCAGTAGCATGCTTCCAAGATCACACCCAATCTCACCACAGCGCCTGAGGGGTCTGTGACTCCTCCAGTTTATGATGCCTTGTTGGTGCACCACGGAATGTGAAAGGTCCTAAGAAATCTATAATTAGAAAGGGAAAATTTAACTCACCTTCCACTGCTCCTCGGGAAGTAGTTTCACGACCACCAGATCCCCATTTAAGGCTCTATTACGAGCAACAACCCCATCAATAAAAATGTCTCGATCACCATCCTAGGTTGGAAAAAGAAATAAGACAATAGTGAGCTTAAAAACACATAAAGCAAAAAACAGATTGCATGCTTTCATAACTGAAATAGAAAACAGCAAGTTATTCTTAGGCTATCCTTTTTTGTATTAAATAAAGCATGTTGATACCTTTTTAATACTAAATGAATTTTTAACATATCAAGGAAGTATAAAAATAGAAGGTATGCAAAAGAACAGAAGAGGAACAACATATAATCTCCCGCAAGAAAACAAACTGAGGGCAGGAGCAGCAATGGTTCTAAGATTTGGGCTCTCTAGGAGGAAACCAGCAAATTCATAATGCCCCCCAAGAAAGTGGCAGAGAGAGTAAGTTGTGGTTGTTTTTATGGAGACCTAAGCAGAGGGCAAAGAAGAGAAAGAAAGAGATGTAATATGAGGTTCATCACATGATCTTCACACTCTACCGACTGTGCCGACTTAGGACCACTGTGAACTCCAGACAATGAACACAAGGTACAGACACTTTCATCCTCACTCACTCAGAAACAAACCACTTTAAATAATGTGGCTCCCCAGTGAACTCCCCAAGTGTCAACTTCTTGGCTTAAATAGGTGCCAGAGTCTTCTTAGTAATCCAAATTACTTTGTAATTTTAAATAAACAAAATAGCTAAGGAAATGCAGGCCTTCTGCAGCAGTCAGGGTTCCTGAGAAAATGAAATATTTTCAAAATGTTTCACCAACAAACATGTACTCTTATCCTTCTATTCTCTACAAGTTTATATGATGTGCTCTTTTTCAGAGAATAAGAAAGAAGTAAAATACTTTTTCTTACAGGAGATGACAGCAAAAGGGTCTGGAAAACCATCACTCAAATTTTTCTAATAGGGACACCTGACATAGATAAGATTTAACATAACACTCAATGGACTGAAGGTGATTACTATGAAACTTTAGTTAAACTTAAAATTAAAAAAAAAAAAAAAAAAAATCAAAAAGGGGGGGGGGGTGTAGATTTTAGTCACTCAGCATTTTTTACAGTTTCCACTTACAAACCATTAGAGATCTTCTAGAACAGTTTTTCTGCTCAATTTCCAGTTTAGCTATGGGCTGACAGCTGTGGCCTGCACACTCTGCCAAAACCGACCCCACCCTAGTCCCCGAGGAAAAGCTACTGTGTTAGCCACAAAACATGACTGTAGTTGACCTCTTGACAAGCTTCTCAGAGAGATCTGGAAGAGACAGCCAGTAAACAGAGAGTGAACAACTGAAATATGGCACATCACCATCTATTGCTGCCTTTTGCAATTCAAAAAGCAATAGGATCTCTCAGACCTCCTTGGAATGAAAAGTGGGCTGTTTGGAGGTCACCCTAACCCATACTCATGTGTCAAACATATGCAATGAAATGCCTCTATTATAAGCAGCTACAACTACCCTTTGGCAGCGCAGAGATTTCAGATTGATGGGATGACAGTACCATCACCTTACAATCCCAGGAAACTAAGGAAAGCAGGGCTCAGCTGAACCTCAGACAACACAAAAATCTATAGCTACTGCATCACTACTCAGCTCTTCCTTGATTCATTCAGAAGACTGATCTGTCGCTGAATCTCTTATTTTAAAGATACTAAGCTTGGGAACTGCTCAATAGTAAAAGTTCAAGTCATCTCTTTTAACCACTTTTTAAGGCCAAATATTTCAGCTGTTTGTTTGAACGCCAGAAGTCTTGTTCTACCCATCAGAAAGAATAATAGGTAATAGAAAAAAAAGAAAGAAAAATAGATAATGAACATCCCTGGAGGAAAAATAAAGGAACTGGGAGAAGGGCACGGGTAGTCAGACTAAAGACTTAGGGGACTGTAGGAAGGAAGACAACACAAGTATGCCACGATGGTCATAGCATCCTTCATTGATGAAACAGTCCCCTTTGGACCAAAAATAAATTCCATCGCTGTACAAAGGGTGCCTCCTATGACAAGATGCATTAAAAAGTTAGAGAGCTTCTTAGATTTACATAATTCAGAATAGAAACTGTGCTTTTTAAAAATGACAGGTTTTTCCATCTGATCAATTTTCTCCTCTTTATCCTATCCCCAAATATAAAAGGCCTGTCAATAATATCATTTTATCTTGGTTTGCTTGAAAGTCACGACTTTACTCACATTCTGTATTTCATTTTTATTGAGAACCTCACAAAACTAGCAAGTACACGTAAGTTACTCATCTCGTATAGTTTAGATGTGTCATGAATTGAAAACCAACTTTCTGTCAGTAGAAATTATAATGAACCTAAGTCAAGTTCCCCCAGAACAAAGTATTATTTTATACCTGATGATTAATTCACTGTTCTTCACCTGCTGACCCAGGGAGATATTTTAGTATAGCAAATGACATTGTGTAAATTCACAACCACTTTTAGAGTCAGTAAGAGCAAACCTAAATAATTTAATCAAATCTCTATTTTTGTCTCTCTAAAAACTTTAGAATGTGAGGAACATTCGACAACATTTAGTCCATCCCCTCATTTTACAAATGAGGAAGCCACTGTATGTCCTACTGTCAGAGCAAAAGCCTCATCTTCTGTCATATTCATTCCTGCCTTTATGCTCCTAGCTTAAGCCAGTAACAGTTAGGCCCTGGTTCTGACATTCTACTTCTCAGTCTATCTGTGGGCATTTTTCATCCCATATATTTTATATTTGTCATAAAATGAAAATCAACTTTCTATCAGTAGAAGTTATAATGAACCTAAGTCAAGTTTCCAGTTAATACAAGTTCATATTTGACATGGATATGAGCTATGTATACTCAGAAATCTAGACCACAGTTGGTTGTGGGCTTTATATATGAGTAATCTGTTGCCTCTATTATTGCCCTTTTCAATTGCTTTCTATAATGCTTCTGAAAACTGAAACCCACAAAGCAAGACTGTAGGACTGTTCCCGTGTCCAAAACCAGAGTGTCTACAATCACTTGCAACGGGCCTTGATTGGCAGCTCTTATGATCTATTCTTAATTACCGAGAGGTGAATTGTTTTTCTCTCTCTGAGACACTATCACTACTCAAGCGGGAGCCAAATAAAAGAATAAAAGAAGCATAGAAATAAGCCAATCCTAATATCGCAACTGTCTAAAAATTTCTAAATATGACATAGCAAGAATACAATTTTAAGTAGGAGAGCAACTATGAGCTTTTAAAACATCACCACCTTTTGCTTTTGCTTCTTAGCTTTAACAAGCCAGGTTAAACCATGGAGATACATCATTTGCAGATGTAAATTACATGAATTTAGCTTGCAGGAACCATAGCAACTCTGCTCTGGCTCTGCCCCAGCCACACCCCTTCCCATCAGACAAGGAGTTCACAGGGCCAAATGGATGTGCTTCCCTAAAATAAGCAGCCCCAAGCCTACCTCCAGGACATATACAGGCACTCCCCCATCACCGGAGGCACCCCCTCAACATGGCGGCTGGCTAAAGAACAGGTATTTCTAATGGGTATGGACATAGCTTAGATATGTGGGACAGGATGCCCACGTTTGTGCATGAAAGGGCCCTCACTGAATGCAAGGGAGTCACAAGGGGACAGGCAGCTAGCACCGAGAAGGGAAGAGGGGCAAGCTAGAGGTGGAGACATGCTTCAGCATGGAGCTGCAAGAAATCTGAGAATTCTACATTTGAACTCAGGTATATGAAGGTGTATTTGGCAAGGAATATATAGAATAATATATATTACTTGATGGTGGGTGTGAGGCCTAACTTATCAATATTTGATTTAAGGTATGTGTGCCTTCTTTTCTACTTCTGTCCTAGGTCCCACACTTGCTAGGAGCCAGCCCAATAGGGATTTAACTTAGGGAAATCCTATACCGTGTATTCAGGCAAGAGAGGGAGCGGCAAAATTTTCAGAATGCTGTAGTTCCCCTTATCATTGCCATCAACAAGAGCAAACTTAAGCATGCACAAGAGACAAGAGGTCTGAGTCTACCCAGTTCCCAGCTGCCTCTTAAGATGAACTAACTACATCGAGTGATATTTTCATGCTTAAAAATCTCTATCTTTCATACATGAGTGCTCCTAATACAATCAAGTTCCTTCAACTGGTATATTCTTGAAGAAACAGTTATGTTTTCTTTATGGGAAAAAAACATTGGTTATGCAGGGCATACTGAGAGATGGTTTATCCGCCTCCAACATAGCACCTTCCTAAGAGATTTTCATGGGTAGTTTTTATGATTCCTGGATGTAAATTTAACCTTATGAGCAAACTCTGGAAACTAATACATATGTAAACTGCACTTCTAGTATATGCGAGAACTGCTCTTGCAGCCAAGTTACCACCTCAAAGCTGACCCTCAATTCTGCAACCCAATTTTACAACTCAAGTTCCAGGGTCAAGATATATGCCATTTTCTCTCACGGGAACAGAATATGACGGAGAAAGAGTAATGTGAATGCCAGTGATACCTTTTATCTGATTCAATGGGTAAGACTTGAACTTGGATGCAATGCGAGTCCCTGGATTTCAAAGGCAGGGGAAAAGGACTAAACTGAGCTTGACAGTAGGTCATAAGGTTATTGTAACAATAACAGTAATATCACTTGAGCATATAAAATCTGAAATGTTCCAAAATATAAAACTTTTGGGCACTGACCTGACACTCAAAGAAAATGCTCACTGGAGCATTTTGGATTTCAGTGTAAGTATGTAATGTAAATATTCCAAAATAAAAAAAAAAAATTCCAAATCCAAAATACTTCTGGTCCCAAGTGTTTCAAATAAGGGGTGCTCAATCTGTAATAACAACATTTATAAAGTACATGACTAAACCTATATTCTCACTAAACTTACTGTCATTTAAAATAATAAAATATGTTAATTAAAATATATGTATTCCATTTCGTCATCTATAAGCATAGGTTTGGTCTCTTTCACTGTGAAAAATCTGTGATTCTATAGCTATTCTATTTATGGTATCCTGGAAAAGTTAGGTCAGGAATTTAAGAATATTGCTCTCCTAGTTTTGCTCAATCAAACCTTCTCTAGAGAACTGCTGCTAACTATATGTCAGTATGAACTTGATTTAAGTGGAAAGAGCCTCTTAAAATGAGTCATAAATGTAAGAAAGGATCTGAAGGACCCAACGGTAAAGAGCCTTGTATGAAGCTCTATCATCTGCACGAAAGTGAAGTGAGAAACTCTGACCCCCCACAAAAAAAAGCATTACACATTATTTTTGGACAAATGTTCAGATTAGCTCATGCAATAGATCCATAGTAGATAGCATATTTGTTTAGGAAAGATTAACTTAAATCAGTGGAAAAAATCATAAATCCTTTTAAGCCATAAACCAAGGGCGTTCAATTACACAAACTGGTGGGTAGTCTGCCTGGGTCCAGCTGCTCTTTGCAGCCTTGTAACAAATGCCATCCCTTTCATTTGGCATGCGATTTTAAGACTGGCAGAAGGGGTTGTTAACCAAAAGAAAATTTTGTTTATTTAAATTTGAAACAAATCTTTGCCCATCCTCAATTTTGCTTCACTACTCTGCTTTTTAGTTAGAATATATGATTTCAGTTTCAGAGCACATCTAAAAAATGAAATGTGACATTAAGTTTATTATAAATTTATTGAACTTACCGGGGAAGGAATGAAGGCTTCATGAAACTTCTTTGGATTAATTCTCAATACACCCTTTAAAACAAAAAATAAAGCTTGTGAAAATCTAGCTATATATTTATGATTTTTCCATATGTATGTTATTCTCCAATAAAAAGTTTTAAAATTAAACAGTTCAATTGAGAAAACAAGTTAGATGTATAAGAACTGTTCATTAAGTGCAGGAAACACAATTTATGTTGATATCTGAAATAGAGGGTTCCATCAAAAACAGAAAGCTTAGACTGGCACCTTGGTGTGAACAAGCAAAGGTAAGGAACAAGACAGCCTGGCATAGAGTGGGAAAGTGGCAACTATTAGACTTTTAGGTGCCCCTATATGCTAGTCTTCAAATTTAAACCTTGACTTTACAAACCAGATTACCTGGGGATTGTGTCTCACTATATAAAGGCCTTTTTTTTTTTTCTCCCAGTTCCAAGACCTTTCCACAATTGCTTGTTTCTGTGACAATTTTCAAAGTGATACAGGTTGATTTCCAACCTAGATACTGAGCCTTAAGAAACTGGATGCATTATTTTTCACTCTGGCCCCTCTGCAGAGCTGAATGAGTCAATAATTCAAAATGGCCATAACCAGCTCTTAATGCAAACTGGAATCCTGGCTCCAACAGCCAGGCCACCCAGTCTGCCTTCAACTTCATGTTATTCCAGCACCAAATCAGGGTCTGCTTCTATTTACACACAGGGGTGCAGGTGGGGGCCTCTTCAATAGCAGTTCAGTATTTCAGGCTCTTGCAGGAAGCTGTAACGCTCCCCAGGTTCCAGCTGTAGTCTCAGGACACTGGAACACATGGATGGAAGCAGTTATTTTTCTAACAGCCAAACTCAAAGGATATCTCGAGAAAGTGTTTTAAATAACATTTCCCCCTAAAACGTTTAAAGACTCAAAGATACATAATTAACAAAACAGGCAAGGGCATAAAATAAAGCAGAAAATAATTTCCTTCTGTGCTGTACCACGTTTAAATTACAAATGTAATTCAAATAGACTACTCAAATAGACACTCAAATAGACTACTACAAATGATCATTCAGTCCTTAATTCAACAATTAATTATTGAGTACTGACTATATTCAAGACCCTGAGACACACTGATGGGGAAGATAATGATTAAGCTCAGTCTCTATTTTAAATGAAAACATAAACCAGAGGTACAGCTTACTTTCATAGCGAGGGCACCAGAAGAGGCTTCAGAGATGGTGTCTGACCTAGTCCTTTACAGAAGAGCAAAATTTGCAAATAAATCAGATGAGAAGTATAGTGGAGGACACTGTGTTAGCAAAAGTGGTTAAGAGGGCACTCACTAACTCTTCTCCATTGTGCAATAACTCTGCCTAGCACAGAAGAGGGAGGGACCAGGAGATAAGGTTGGCAAAGCTCCCCAAGGCCAGTCCCTTGTTAAGAGTGTCACAGTAAATCCACTTCTAGACAGCTGTTTCTTGTTGAGGGAAGGAGGGAAAAAACTTACATTTATCCTAAATATTCATCCACTCACTCAACAAATATTTCCTAACAAATAGCATGGCAGGCACCATGTCAAGTGATGGGGTAAAAGGGAGACTAACAACAGACAGTCTCTACCGTCACACAGCTGACAGTCTCATGAGGGGAAGAGACTCCAAACAAACGAAAGTCAGTTCATTGAAATTAAATGTTTAACAATTTCATTTGCTGATTCCAGATGCTTTTCTCTGGCCTAAGTTTTTTTTTCAATTCCTATTCTTCTATCATCCCTTGTAGCTCAGTGAATGGTTAGCAAATGAAGAAGTATGGAGATGAGAATGCCTCTAGCTTTGAAAATGTCTTTAATTGCACGGCACTCAGACAGGTTAGGCTGGGCCCAGGGAAAAGAGACAGGTTGCTCAAGGCTGCATCCAGGCTCTATTCAAAAGAAAAGGTATTAAAAAGGCGTTGAAGATTTTACCCTTGATTCTCTATCCCAAACTTCCCAATATATACAAAAGGACACAAGGAAGAAGAGAAACCTTGTTCCACAATAGCATTTGTAAATTTGACTGAAGCATAACTCTGAAGAACTGGACCTCAGAAACACAGCCCTTGAGAGAATGCAGATCACACTAAGAAAGCAGAAACTCCCCAGAGCTCCGCAGCAGACCAGAGTTGTTCCTATAGCCTGAGAGAAGCAGCTGACAGTAAAGTCTGTCAAAAACAAATGGTCTTTTAACCAAAGGATACTTCCCACAGATGTCTTGTCTTACTCACCTACAAAAGTCCAAGGCTTTCATTTCTTTTTTTTTGAGACGGAGTCTCGCTGTCTCCCAGGCTGGAGTGCAGTGGCCGGATCTCAGCTCACTGTAAGCTCCGCCTCCTGGGTTCACGCCATTCTCCTGCCTCAGCCTCCCAAGTAGCTGGGACTACAGGCGCCCGTCACCTCGCCCGGCTAGTTTTTTGTATTTTTTAGTAGAGACGGGGTTTCACCGTGTTAGCCAGGATGGTCTCGATCTCCTGACCTCATGATCCGCCCACCTTGGCCTCCCAAAGTGCTGGGATTACAGGTGTGAGCCACCGTGCCCGGCCGGCTTTCATTTCTATAGCCATCCCCTAATCTGACCCAATTGCCCATCTCCCATCTTCTTCCTAAAGCACTTCCCTAGGCCTGGAACTTGATCAGTGAGAATCCCATAGCCTCCATCTCTTCTCCGGATGCTCCTGATCCTTCCCCTTAATCGAAACCCGGCTGTTCCCTGATGTTATTGCTTCCCTGAGTGCTCTCAAAGGGTGTCTATTTTATCTCTCATAACCCATATATCTCAGGGACCAGGTGAGGAAGGGCTCTTTGCTTTCCCATCATGGCTTTAAAAGTATTTTTTCCTCCAATCTCTTTCAAAAATCCCAGATCCTTTGCAGTTCATATCATTAGCACCTCCTTGGTGCTGTCATCCTCAAACTTACAGGTGGGTCAAAGCTCCAATTCACTAACATTTTGACTAGCAGCTCACTGCCTTCCTCTCTATCCTTACTCCCATATATATTTTTGGGACTTCACATCCATGTTGAAGACCAAGCAACCCCAGCCTGTCACTCTAACTACCATTTGCTCTTCTACCCCACCTACTCTCTCCCATGTTCACAGCCTGGATCCCGTCAGCACTACTAATGACACCACTTAAAAAAAAAAATTCAAATATCACACTTTCCGATGGCAGTCTTTTGTCTACTTATGGTAAAAACCCCATTTCAACAACTCTTCAATTTCACTAAGATCTCCAACCCAAAGCTGTGACCACGTGTCACCATTCATTGTCCTCCCACTGTTTACTCCCTTCTCTAGCAACCTAATTGCCATGGCCTGTCATTATCACTTAACCTTGCAAATCCTAAACAAACCTCTTACTCTGATACTCAACCAGCAAAAGACCTTGAAGATTTTACCCTTGATTCTCTACTCTCAACTAACCCCAGCTAACTGCTTTCTCACTTCCTGTACCCAAGGAGCTAAACAGTACCATAGAAAAACACCACACAACTGGGCTAAATCAGTCTAACTGGCAATCACAAACATACTGTATTTGGCTTGAGAGTCCTCAAAACTGAAGAATTTCACACATATAAAATACATAGTTCCAGATATTCTTGAAAAATCATAAGATCTAACAGCTTTGGACAGGGTTCTCCAAATGACAGCAACCACCTAACCTGAATAACAGACACTCCTCTTATAGTAATAAAAACAAAACTCAAGTGCCACTTATGCAGGTATATGACGTGCCACACACTCTTGGAAGAGCTTTATATCGATCAGCTAATTTAACCCTCACAACAACCCTATGAGGTAGATACTATTATCCTTGTTTTTACAGAGGAGGAAACTGAGGCACTGAGAGGTTAAAAAAATTGCCTGCTTTCACATCACATTCAAGGTGAGACAGTCTGGCTCCAGAGTCCATGCCCTCCACTACTGTGAACAGCCTCTCTTTCTGTTTGCCACACTCACCACCAGGGCCTCTTCACTCATGTATGCCAGCTGTCCCTCTTACCCAAAAACTCATTCCAACCCTTGCTTTTCTCCGTCTTGGTTAATGGCAACACCAGCCAGCCGCTCAATTCGAAAACTCAGCAAGCGTCAGGGATGCCTCCCTCTGCCTCACCTTCCATATCTCACCCACCAGCATGTCATATCAGTTCTAGCCCCACATCCATCTTCACTGCCACCTTCTTGTTCCCATCTCCATGTTTTCTGACCTGGTTTACTTTGATAGCTTCCTGAGTGGCCTCTCAGCTTCCACTCTAGTCCATTCATCTCACAATTCCCAGAGAGATATGTTCAAAGCATGAAACAGATTATTTTCTTCTCCTGCTTAACAGCCTTCAGTGACTTCCTGCTGCTCTTTAAACAAAATCCAATTCTCCAGCATAGCCTAGAGACCCTACATGACTTGGCTGATGCCTAACTCTCCACTTGTCCCATCATATAACTCCCTTTGCTCACAATGTTCCAACAGACTTCCTTCTCATTTCTCAGAACCACCAAGCCTTCCTCTGCTTGCTGCTGTTCTACTAGCTGAGCTTTCCACCTACGTTCTTCTCCTAATTCTTCAATTGGCTGTTTCATTCTCATCTCAGACAACCCACAGATCATCTCACAGAGGCTTTCCCTAACAACTCTACTAAAGAGGTTCTCTCTATAATCTCTCTCACCTTTCCCATTTCCTTATTAGCAATGATCAGTCTAATTCCTTCTCTTTTTCTTTAGTTGTTTTTCCTTACCTCCCCAGTGACTTGCCTAACTTGCTCACTGGTATATGCTTGGCACTGAGTAAGAAGTCAAGAAACATTTGTTGCACTAATTAATTAATGCCTGCAGAGCTGAAGTTCTTTCATCACCCCCAGTATTAATGTTATGAATATCATCTCTCCCTTCTGAGTGACTGGGCATTCCGCTATAACATCACATCTATTCCCCCTCATCTTTAATTCATCCCCAAGTATTCTCCAGCTGACTTTACTCTTCTTAAAAAAAAAGAGAGAGAGAGAGAGACAGGGTCTCACTCTGT